TATATATATATATATATATGTATATATATATATATATATATATATATATATATATATATATATATATATATATATATATGTATATATATGTATATATATGTATATATATATATATATATATATATATATATATATATATATATATATATATATATATATATATATATATATATATATATATATATATGTATGTGTGTGTGTATATGTATATGAATATATACATATGTGTGTGTGTACATATATATCCATATACATATATTAATATATATCATTTTTATCATTATCATTAATATAATTATCGTCATTATCACCATTATCATTTTCATCATGGGTGGTACGAAGGAGTTAGTGGGGTGGGAGTGGGGGGAGGTGGGGGGGTATGAAGGGTGATAGACGGCAACGGGATGACAGAAAGCTCGGCGTGACGCTAATATATGCATACCTGTCATACGCTCTTCTCACACGAGCTACGCAAAGGTCACGTGTACTCTGCAGGAGACGTCTAGTACACCTCGCGCTCCGCAGAGGAAAATAAAAGAAGCTAATTTCCCCCCCTTGTGTATTTCGAGACGCGGGGTTTATTTAGGGGCTGCAACCTGCCCCTCGACAGCAAAGGCGTGCCGAGAAAAAAGGGTTTATTAATCGTGTGTGTGGTATGATACGCACTGCCAGTGAGAAATGTCGGGGCGAAATAAAAGAAATAATAATTGAGTATGTGGTATGATACGTTTTGCCAGTGAGAAATGTCCTGGGTATGTGGTATATGGTATGAATTGGATATATGGTATGAAGCGTATTACTAGGGAGAAATGTTGAGAAAAGAAAAGTCCATTCTAAGTGCACATCTAGTACGATATTGCAAGGGGAAAATGTCGAGAGAGAAAAAAAAATCTTATTAATTGCGTATATGGTATGGTACGCATTGCCAGGGAGAAATGTCGACAGAAAAATGATTCACTTGCGTATGTGGTATGACATGCATCGCCGGAGAGAATGCTGTGCAATACACGTTTTGAGAAAGCACGCCAGATGAACCTCACACGCCGAGACAAGGAAGTGTATTCGGAGTTATAAATGTCTTGTGAGTATTTGGACGCCAACCCACTTCCTGACGCCTCCGTAGCGCCTTACCCTATACTCTTTCCTCCCTTCACCGAGAGGATATCTATCTCTCTTTTTCCTCCTTCTGATCCTAGTAAACTATCTATCATCATCTCTTTATACAAATAATCTCTACTATGATGCTCATCGTGCGCGAATTCGGGATATTTTATTGATCATGCATATGGTCACTTCAGTATACCGAAACCTAAATACAGCATTTTCCACCGAGTACAGTATATTCTAACATATGTTCATAAAAAAAAACACCTATGCTTATTGAACTACGCCAGTGCTCTCTCCTCCAAGCAACAAGTTCCGCCTGACAGTGAATTATGGCGTATGTGACATTCTCTCGCTCTCTCGCTCGCTCGCTCACTCTCTCTCTCTCTCTCTCTCTCTCTCTCTCTCTCTCTCTCTCTCTCTCTCTCTCTCTCTCTCTCTCTCTCTCTCTCTCTCTCTCTTTCATCTCACAACTAGGAATTCGCGTATCTACACTGGTTTCACTTAGAGCCATCTCGTATATCACTGCCGATGCTTTATCATTGGTAGAGCCCAGTGGTTCTTTAAATCTCCTTCCCGCAAGAGAGAAGAGGATATTTAGGGTCTAATTCTATATTCTTCCACCGAACTCCACCCATAGAGGCTTGGCATTAACTCGGCCCCCTGTTCGTATACTTCAAGATAATAATGGGCGCTTCTTATCACGGGCTCGTCGGTGCAGGAGAAAATTACCCTTTTTGTCCCTCCTCCTTTCACCTGCCTCCTTTGTCTTTTCTTCTGTTTCCCTCTACTTTTCGTTCTTTCTTCCTCCTTCTTCCTCCATCTCTTCTTTTGCTCTTCCTCTCTCCTTCCTCCTATCCCTTTCATCTTTCCTCCTTTCTTCTTCCTTCTCTTATTTTCCTCCTCCTCTCTCCTTCCTCCTATCCCTTTTCTCTTTCCTCTTTCTCATTCCCTCCTTCTTCTTTTTCTTTTCCCATCTTCCCCTTTCCCCGCCGTGACATCCGAATCTCCCTTTCTTCCTATCCTTTTCAACATCTCCCTACCTCTTTATTTCCTCTTCACCCTTCTTTTCCTCCTCCTCCCCCTTCACCCCCTTCCTCCTCCATCTTCCTTCCACTCTTATTTCCCCCTCCTCCTCTTTCCTCCTTCCTCCTTCCACAACCTCTCCCTCCTCCCTCTTCACCCCCTCCTCCATCCTCCTTCCCCCGCCCACTCCCTCTTCCTCCTTCCTCCTTCCCCCACCCACCCCCTCTTCCTCCTTCCTCCTTCCCCCACCCACCCCCTCTTCCTCCTTCCTCCTTCCCCCACCCCACCCTTCCTCCATCCTCTTTCTCCATCCTCCTTCTCCCCACCCACCCCCTCTTCTTCCTTCCTCCTTCCTCCCCCCCCCCTCACCTCATCCCACCTTCTCCCCTCCCCCCCCTTTTTCGCCGCTTTGACACCACCTCCGGCCATTACTCTCACCCCGACGTCCATTCCACATTCCTCCCGCTCTCGTGGTCCTCCGTCTTCGCTCTGTCCGCCCAAAACGTCCCCTTCGCGCGCGTGTCTTCGATCTGCGGCGATGATGGTCTTGGCGTTTTTCTTTTGTTTTTTGTTTTTTGTTTTTGTTGTTGTTGTTTTTTGTGAAAGTGTTCTTAAAGATAAAAGTAAAAAGATGTTGTTTTTTTTTGTTTTTTTTTTTGTGAAAGTGTTCTTAAAAATAAAAGTAAAAAGATGTTTTTTTTGTTGTTGTTGTTTTGTGAAAGTGTTCTTAAAAATAAAAGTAAAAAGATGGTTTTTTTGTTGTTTTTGTGAAAGGGTTCTTAAAAATAAAAGTAAAAAGATGTTGTTTTTTTGTGAAAGTGTTCTTAAAGATAAAAGTAAAAAAAAAATGCGTTGTGTGTAACTAACAAAATGCGTGTTGTGTTTTGTTGGATTTTGTTATATGATATAGAGTGTGATTTTTTTTTTAGGTAACTATGGGTGTTTATGTAAGTCTGTGAATATGTGAAAAATTGGTTTGGATTGTTTTTAATTTTTTTTAGGAAATGATTATGGAGTCGCTTTATTCCCTTTCTATTTATGTATTAGTTATGTATGCGTGTGCGTGTGCCTGTGAGCGTGCATATGCGTGCGTGTGCGTATGCGTGTGTGTATGTCCTCCTTCACCCCCTAATCAACCCCCAACCTCCACTTACCCCCCCCCCCTTCAAAGAAAAAAAAAAAAAAAAAAAAAACACGCGCACACCCACACGCCCGCATAAGAGTGAACGTGTTTGTCTGTTTATGCCACAGGACCCATTTATATCCCGGTTCCCTCACGTTCATCCCCCTCCCCCCCCGCCCTCCCTCTCCCCCTCCAATCCCATAATCCTTTACCGTTAAGCTGCTCCTCCACGTGTGCTTCCTGCCGGTCCCATAGTCACTCACCTCCCCCCCCCCTTCACCCCTCCTTCCTTCGTCATCACCTCCTTCGTGACGAGTGCTAAAAGGTAATCTTGGTAATACTATTATTTCTGAATAACTTTTGTCATCATTCACGTTGTTGTTGTTGTTGTTATTGTTGTTGTTGTTGCTGATGTTTTGTTGTTGTTATTATTATCATTATTGTTGTTATTGATATTATCATTACTACCATTATTGCTATCATTATTAGTATTATTATTATTATTATCATTAATACTATTATTATTACCATAATCGTTACCATTATCATTAACATCATCACCAATCCATCATCATCATTATCATTATCATTAACATTATCATGATTATAATAATTATCATTATCATTATCTTTATCCCCATCGCCATCATTATCACAAACTTTTTTATTTCCAATATTTTCTGGTATTTTTTTTTATCATCATTATCATCAGTAGTAATAGATGTAGTAATGTCAGTAGTAGCAGTAGCAGTAATAGAAGCAGCAGCAGAAGTAATAGTAGTAGAAGTAGTCGTAGGAGGAGGTTGTTGTTGTTTTGTTGTTGTTGTTGTTGCTATATAGTAGTAGTAGTAGTAGTAGTAGTAGTAGTAGTAGTAGTAGTAGTAGTTGTTGTTGTTGTTGTTGTTGTTGTTGTTGTTGTTGTTGTTGTTGTTGTTGTTGTAGTTGTAGTACTAGTAGCAGTAGTAGCAGTAGTAGCAGTAGTAACAGTAGTAGCAGTAGTAGCAGTAGTAGAAGTAGTAGCAGTAGTAATAGTAGTAGCAGTAGTAGCAGTAGTAGCAGTAGTAGCAGTAGTAGCAGTAGTAGCAGTAGTAGCAGTAGTAGCAGTAGTAGCAGTAGTAACAGTAGTAGCAGTAGTAGCAGTAGTAGCAGTAGTAGCAGTAGTAGCAGTAGTAGCAGTAGTAGCAGTAGTAGCAGTAGTAGCAGTAGTAACAGTAGTAGCAGTAGTAGCAGTAGTAGCAGTAGTAGCAGTAGTAGCAGTACAGTAGTAGCAGTAGTAGCAGTAGTAGCAGTAGTTACAGTAGTAGCAGTAGTAGCAGTAGTAGCAGTAGTAGCAGTAGTAGCAGTAGTTACAGTAGTAGCAGTAGTAGCAGTAGTAGCAGTAGTAGCAGTAGTAGCAGTAGTAACAGTAGTAGCAGTAGTAGCAGTAGTAGCAGTAGTAGCGGTAGTAGCAGTAGTAGCAGTAGTAGCAGTAGTAGCAGTAGTAGCAGTAGTAGCAGTAGTAGCAGTAGCAGTAGCAGTAGCAGTAATAGTAGCAGTAATAGTAGTTGTTGTTGTAAGAAGTAAAACTTTTGTTGACATCGCGATATCCGCTCTTGTACACGTCGGCCGAACGCACATAAGCGATACGTTAATACCTCGGCGTCGGGTGAGGTGGGATGGTCAAACACCAGCGTGGCGCCAAGACCAAGGGTTTTAATGTTGTCTTACCAAAAAAAAAACTATGTTTTCTTTTCTTTTTCTTTTCTTT